ATTATGTAAACTACGTATCTGGGGTCTGGTCCCACCTACCGTTGTTGAGTTCAGAAAACTCAACGGTGTGACGCCATTTCGACATTAATAAATTCGAAACAAGAAATAAAAAAACTGAAAAAAACACTAGAAATAACTTTTCTCGTTATTTTTTATAACGTAACTCGCAGAAATGAAAGATGTCTGGAACACTCGGAGTGAACCTCTCCGTGAAAAAGGGATACTCCCCGTGGTGAGGGGACAGGAGGTCACCATTTGTAAAATGGACAGGGAYRACGTGGATRRCCAAATGCATTCATTGCCCAAAGAAGGAAACAAGTTTGATGCCAGACAACCAAACAAAGTTGTCAGAGTTCCTCCATTTCAGGATGCAACGAGGTCTTAAAAAACAAAAAAAARGAAAGGCACTGCAGTTGAGAAATGTACCCTACCCTCGGGAGGGTAGTTTTCTKAAWGGAAAAYGGCTTCCCGCCMAAACCAAAAKGGCCAACGCATACTACAAAACGGATTTCACGTCAAAGAAAAATTMTACAAAATAACTAAATCTACTAGGTTATTCTCCTRTATTTTGGTACCACTAGATTCGYAATACATCAACTGCAGAGCTCCGTCCCACCATGCCACACGTGATAGAAAGCTCAGCGTTGAGAAAACTCAACGTTGTAGGTGGGACTAAACCTCTGTAAATTTTCAGGGTATTTGGCAATGCCAAAAAATAATTAAAAATCGGCAAAGATGGCGGTGTCAAAAAGGTGCTGGCACACTCACTCATTTTAATTCTCTTTTCATTTCTTCTTATTTTTATCACAGTGTAGGAACGCAACAAAGTCAGGTGACAAAAAACCAGGTGTAGGTCTTCTTCCACCCAAAATGGGCTTCTGTATCATGGCATTCCCCTAAGATCNAAATGGGCTTCTGTATCATGGCATTCCCCTAAGATCAAACTTTTGATCTCTTCATTATTCGGTATGCATAGCCTATCATTCACATCAGTTCTCTCAAACAAAAGACCCTGAGTAACTTTATGATCAGAAAACTCTGCTGGCCTTTCTTGTACTTGCTTAGTCATCGTTCCATAGATAGGATCAGAGGGATACGCATTCTTAATCTTTTCTTGCAAATCAGCACCAACATCTAGATATGTCACAATGACACTGAAAAAGTCAGATCTACGACTTAGTGCATCAGCAACAACGTTATACTTACCCTTTACTGGCTTTAGCTCAAAGTCAAACATATCAATCTCCACAACCCACCTTGTTAACTTAGGTGTCATTCGAGTCTGCGTTTTGAGCCAGCGAAGTGTCTCATGGTCAGAGTATACCTTAAAATGTTTTCCCAGAAGATAGTGCCACCAATGATTGAGAGCGTCGTGAATAGCATATAACTCTCTTTCATACGTTGAGGCGGCCACTTTCTCATAAGGTAATCGGCAAGACATAAACTCCACAAGTCTGTATCCATGTCCATCATCTTGCTGGAGTACAACACCTATACCATATTGACTAGCATCAGTTGTGACCACGAAAGGTGAGGAAGGGTCTGCCACCTTTAGAACCGAATAATTAATCAAACACTTTTTCAGATGCTTGAAAGACATTGTGCAGTCTGAATCCCACTTCCAAATTACTTCTTTCTTAAGGAACCTGCGAAGGGGAGCAGCTATTATCGTAAAGTGTCTTACAAACTTGCGATAATAGTTGGTTAATCCAAGAAACAACTGCAACTCAGTCAGGGTGCGAGAATTCGGCCAATCTCTGATTGCTGCTATTTTTGCATCGTCCGGTTTGACCCCATCTCCATCAATTATATGTCCCAGGTATAGAACCTAACGTTTAGCCCATTCACACTTATTTGGGTTTATCTTAAGTTTTGCTTCTCGTAGTTGATTTAGCACAAGTCGAAGGTGCTCAGCATGTTCTTTTTCATTTTTACTAAAAATCCAAATATCATCAAGATAAATAACAACAAACTTGTCAAGCCATTCACGAAATAGTTCGTTCATCGTTCTTTGGAAAGTGGCAGGGGCATTCGTGAGACCAAAGGACAAAACTTTAAACTCATACTGCCCATACCTTGTCCTGAAGGCAGTCTTATGTTGGTCTTCCGACTCAACCTCAATCTGATGGTAGCTGGATTTCAAATCAATCTTTGAAAATATTTTGCTACCCTCCACGCGATCCAACAAATCATTTATTCGCGGTAATGGTTCGACATTCTTTACCGTTATATCATTTAATTGCCTATAATCTATACGCATGTGAATGGCACCATCTTTCTCAGGTACAAAGAGCACAGGCGCACCATAGGGTGAGGAGCTAGGTCTTATCCATCTATTTTTCAACAACTCATCGAGTTGGGTTCGCAGCTCATCCAACTCCTGAGGCGACATACGATAGATAGGTCCCTTCAGGGGCGTGCTCCCTGGAATGATATCAATGCGGTGTCGGATTGGTCTTTCTACCTACCGCTTGGGGCTTCAGCCACATCTGCGAACTCTTTTAGGATTCTCTTAATCTCTTGAGACCTGACTTCTTCCTTACTTTTTCCTTCCTTTACTGAGCGCACATATGCAACAAAGACTTTGTCATACGAGTTGTGTTTCTTTACATGGCGAGCGAACGCTGGGGCACTCATRCAACAGTGAGCTAGGCTGCTTTCCTTTCCAGACTCACGATAGAGACGAATTTTCTTTTTACCTCCTTGCGGACTTGGGAGCTAACATTCATGCTCTCTCAACTTCAGATCCGCATGTGCAGCCTTACCCCGATCTATTCCTTACAACACATCAAAGGGCAATTTATCCTCTCCCAAGAAGGTCAGAGAGCGGAGAACAGGTTCTACCTTCCCCTCTGCCTCTAGCCGAAAGTATACCTGAACCCCCTCAACGTATCGATCCATAACGGTTTCACTACTATTAGCAAACTTACTTACAATGGACTCATTTAACCTTTTAACTTAAAGCCCAAGACGCAATTTTTGCAACCCTCTCTTACTAATATAACTACGTGTAGACCCGCTGTCTATCATACCTCCTACTCTTACTCGATTTATTTCAAGATCTGCAATTATTAGTTGTCCTTTCTTTTTTCGCATTTCAATCCAGACTTGGCGACGAGCGGCCAACTCACCACCCACGCCAGCGAGGGATCCATCTAGAGAGACGCATACGTTTGCCGTCTCTGGACAGTGCACTAGATGGGGACTGTCTTCCTCTTCAGTTTCTGCTATTGGGGCCTTCGAATGAGAGGATTCTGATTTTTCAACATTCGAAGCCCCGGTAGAGGCAACTAGTGACTCTACTGGTTGTTCCCTTTTGCCCCCCTCTAGTCAAGGCAATAGGGGACAATGTGGTCGGGGTCCCCACACTTGAGGCATTGGTCTGCTTTCTTTCTTTCTTACCAGACTTTTTATGTTATTCCTAATTCCTTCCAAGGCTCTCCTTCGGGTAGACCTGGATGTGGTGGGTATGGTTTGTCCCACTTGTTATACCATGTGCCTCTTCCTCTTCCCCAGGTGGAGTAAGAACCACGACCACCTTGTGAGGGACCATTTCCCCTTCCTCCCACGTAGTGGCTTCCTTCACCACCCCCCCTCTGGGTGCCGAATCCTCGTCCACCACGGCCACGACCTCTTCCTCGGCTACGCCCTCTTCCTTGACGCCCTCCCCCGCAGGCTACAACGGCCGCGTAACTCCCCTCCTGAGTTACCGGTCCACTGCGTTCATCGAGACCATAATCTACTTGATCCCAATAAATAGTCTCGGCGCCTCCCTCCTCAAAGGTTATAAGGAGACTATCTTTACCAAATATAGACCCTGAGATAGTGCGGTTTTGCCATTTCTTTCCCACTTGCAGATCCTTCCAATAATGGCAATAGTTTGCTTCGGCGAGGAAGCCGGCGTGATCTATGGCGATCTTGCCGAACTTCTCATACGTCATCCCTTCTTCTTTGACGCGGGGATAGAGTTGTGTTCTTAGGGGGTCCGGGAGTGCTCGTGCAAAGCTATTTAAGATCTGGGCAGGAGTCAATCCATGATCAGGGCATTGCAACAACTCGTCTGTAGTTGCTTTCAGGGCAGAGGTGCTCTTCCATTTTCTGTCAGTTAGGTTGAGGATTAGCATCTCTGTGTGACGTGCTAAATTCTTGTCCTCAAATCTCTCTCTAATTGCTTTCAGGAAATCTTCAATTCGTGTTTGTTGTGAAAACTCTACCATCGAGCTGCATCCCGCCTCTTTTTGCAGCGAGATGGCGAAGCTCATGGCGTCACCTCCCATGCATGAAGTTGCCATTAACACCCTGTCCCAATATGGGATTCGTTGTCCATATACATAAGTTTTTATCGCTGCTGCCCAATGCAGAACACTTTCTTCCTTCTTTCCATTATAGGTCCACGGCAGTTTAAGTTTTATTTTACTAACCTGCCCGGTCTCCAATGGAAGTTTCTCCTTTGGTTCCCCCCTTCTTTTCCCCTTCTTATCATCATCGCCATCGTCATCACCATCTCCTCCTCCACCTCCACCTCCCTTAACAATTTTCTCTAAAACCTCCGGAGTGAAGGTCTTAGTGACATGTTCGTCCGAGGTCCGAATGTATGTTTGCACATGCTGGTTGACGTCCTTAGCTGACTTCTCTAGGAAGTTGTTCCAGACAATTTCGAACTCAACCCGATGTGTTTCTACCCTTTGCAAGGTCTGCCGCATTAAGTTCATGTCCTGCCTTGTATTGAGGACGGTCTCTTTGAGTAGAGCAAGTTGTTCTTCTGTCGCAGAGGGTTTTTCTTTTTGTGCTTCTAAGGCCTTCTGCAATTTTTCCCCTTCTGCCTGCAGCCTCTTTTTTTCTTTTACTTCTTGGCGTCTGGCTGCTAACAACTTACTCTTCAACTCCGCCATTTTTTCTTCCAACATCAGATTGCGTTCGACGGCGTCTGTCACAGTGGCCAATTTTGCGATGAACACGTCGCGTTCTTCTTTAGACTCTTTTAGCGGTTCGCTGGAGTAATAGTACTGACCAGCCCAATCCAGCGGTTCAACTGGAAGTCTGGTTGTACTGCTGCTGTCAGGGAGGTCCACGAGACGGCGTCTTTCCAAAGTTTCTGCTTCTTCATGTTCTTCTTCTTCTTCTTCTTCTTCTTCTTCTTCTTCTTCTCGTATACTCTTCAACTCTTCTTCTAATTCTTTATCGATCTTCTCTTTCATCTTCCTTTTGGTTTCCTCTTCTTTCTGGTTTTTCTTAGCTTCCTTTTCTTTTTTCTTTTCTGCCAACCTACGGTCAATCTCTGCTTGTTCCGCAGGTGTGGGGCCAGGATTCACTGTCCGTGACCGCATAAACATGCGGGACGTACCTACCCGTCCGAACCCCAAAGGGAACATCAACCGGAACAGCGGCCCCAACAGGACAGAAAGGGCCAACAGGCCCTGAATGGGGAAGCCATCCATGGTGAGTCCCGGCACAGGAGGTCCTCCACCAGCTCACCACGACACTATCCCAACCGGATCAGTTCAGTCTCATCTTGCGGTGAATGGCGTACTACACTTTTTTTTTTCTTTTCTTGAGTGTAGAAGGTGCTGCGTACAATAAACACTCACTCAATCTGAACTCAATACATGTATATACCTCTTTTTTTCTCCTTTTAAAATATTGTCTGGCTGTCCTGGATCAAACCTCTGCAATGCGTTGTTTGTATCTATACTCCCCCCTATGCTTGATGGTTTATCTAACTGGCTGGTTGTCTGATGCAGGTCTGGAGYACAGCGCAGAAAGGTCGGATGCAAATGGATCACTTAATCAACCAGGCAKAAATAATTTGCTYCGTTTTTCTTTCTTTCGGGCTTAATTGGCCCTGTAAATGCTCATCATCATGTTTGCGYTGCCTGGTACTTGCACTCTRACGTGGCATATAGCCACTTCCCACATCTATTCTTGGTCCCTGATGACGACACACAACCTGCCTCTCGAGAGGGGTAGGAGAGAAATCTACTCCTATTCGCAGAACACTGGACCACCTATTCTAGTGTGACCAGGCCCTGACACATGGCCTTTGGACCATCCAGACTCTGACAATTCAGACTCTGACTCACTAGAACGATCCAGATCCAGACTTTGACTCCAGACCAGACCAGCAACAGTCACCTTCAGAGGGTCAGAGAGAGAGAACGTAGGGGACACACACATACATGCAGGTTAAGGGAAAGGAGGTGCTTCCCTCTTCTTGAAGATACCGTCGATGATGCTCCACGACGCTCCGCACGCTCCAGGTAAGTAACTCTCACCTCTTCTTCTTCGGCCTGCTTCCCCCACTATCGAACATTTCTTCTCCTCCTCCCTCCTTCACTACTCCTCCATCACCACATCTTCTCGCCGGCCTTGATCATGCCAGCGCTATGAGTGCAGCGAGCATCTGCTCTGATACCAAATTTGCATGGGTCCTGAAGACCATCTCACGCAAGTGTGTACATATCACGCATCATCCTTACACACAATGACCACGAGTCTCASACATTAGACAAAGGTAGATGAGAAGAGAACCGAGTTGCACAACTTATATTATCAAATATATGATTACAAAGAGTTTCAATGCTCCCWGAGTCCAKCGCTGATCASCGCAATGCCAATCTAGCATCAACTCATCACTGTGACTTCCATACATCAGCGATACTTCTACARATTGTATCCTGATCATCAATGTSGTCACTACTCATCAGTGCCACCTGTGCAGCTCATGTCCCACTCAGRTAAGTATCCTTCATACACACTCTTCGCTCACAAGGATCTACTCTGAATGCTACTCATAGCTAACTACTAACCCTATACTCTACTACTAACTCGYTGGGCAGCTATGGCTGCATCCTTCCAGCGCACAGTTCTTGTCTATCGCATCTTCTCCTCCAGCGCTGCTCCTACTGACTGGCGCACAAGCACAACAACACTTCCACGCATTGAAGCCAGTGGAGATCTAGCGAGGAATGAGGCTGGCTACTTTCTTTATAGTGTTGGCCTTTCCTCGCTGGGTCTGCATTGGCTGCTTCAGGCCTTCCTTTGTCCCAGACCCTGCATTCCATGTGTCCCAGTATTGTCCCAACGAAGTTCAACTTCTGCTGAGGCCTCTCGGCCTAGATTTGGACTTGGATGCCTGGATCTGGACTGTTTCTGAGACTTAGACCAGAATTGGGACTCTGATTTTTGGCTTTACTTTCGGACAGGCACAACTTAGACGAACAGACACATTTACTGCCTGAACAGACGCTCACATTGTGCGAATAGACACTTCCTTTTGCACGAACAGACAGAGTTACTTCACGTACAAACATACCTTTATCTGAACAAATATGATGTGTGTATCTCCTGGTGAACAGGTATGGCTTGCTGCAATGACTTCTGCTTTGGTTTAGGATGTGTCCCTTGGCTAGAAAACTTGACTTTTGACCTGCTTTCACGTTTCTGGGTTCTGGTGAGATACCCCTTCAGGATGCTTTACTTGTAAAGGCCTGTATCGGGTACAGGCCCTTTTATATTATGTATATATATATATCAATATCTATATACATATATATATATATATATATATATAATCTTCTTTGATTTTGGTTAAGGTAGATTATCATTTATAGTGTAATCAGTGAGGGGATTCTGCACACTGTTGAGGGTTCAGCCTCCAGATGAATCGGTGAAACTCCGACGAAGCAGTTTGTCACAGCCCCTCGTTTGTTGTCCTCTTCTCTTTCTCTGCCTACGGTTTACCGGGTGTATATATATATATCGTCACAAATAGAACTACCCGGTAAACCGTAGGCAGAGAAAGAAAAGAGGACAACAAACGAGGGGTATGTATATATATATATATATATATATATATACCCGACCGAACGTTCGGGCGTTCGGGGGCCTAACACCTCAAGGTTTGGCCCCCGCCAAAAAATATTTCGGGGCCTAAAAATAAGTTTTTCTTTCTGAATCGTTTTTTGGGAGCTCTCTATTATGTAACCTACACGCCTATAAATTTTGAAGCCATTCTGCTAAGCCAAAAAAACATGACAAATCGTCAAAGATGGGGGTGTCAAAACGTGCTCGCCCACTCACTATTTTGTTTTTTTTTCACTTTTAACTTTTTGTTTTCATTTTATTTCGGGGCCTAAAAA